CCGAGGCCAAGGCGGAGGGAGGAGCCGGTAGAAGGCATGGTGAGTTTTGCCATTGAAGTCGAAAAGCTTATTTCCCACCCGCTCTTGCAGCTTCTTGGGGTTGCACTGCGGTGACAGCTTCACAAGATGGTGTGAGGACTTCTCGTTGGAAGCACACTCACAAACCTCTGCGGGCCGTGCGCATCTTCGAGATCGTCTTCTGCATCTGCCCAGCGCATCCTGGCAACATGAGCAAGCCGTGTGCAAGCACCTGCAGAAGCCAGTCGTTTGCGATCCGTACGGGCAGTCGCCTGTTGGACTCGGTGAATCAAGGCATAGCAACATCAACAGCTTCAGTGGCCTCACAGCAGGCGCATGCTGCAAAGCGGGACAGCATACACGGACTGCTGACATGTGTGGATCAAGAGGAGCAAGTAGAAGACTCAAGAGGAGTTGTGAGGCACAGGGCCCCAAAGTTTTGTCGACATGCCAGCGACGCCCAGACAGCACCGAAGTGCGTGCTCGTCCACCAGAAATGCCTTGGTGAAGAACTTCGCCATTACCTTTGCTGCACACTGGCGCTGCAACCGACACACAGCAGAAACTATATGTGCATGTAGAGGCGCAGGCTCGGAGCCGGCCGAAAAGCGGCGGGCGAGTCTGAGCTCCGAGCACAACAATCCAGAAACTGCAGGGATGCTGGCGGTTGCGAGAGGGGCTGTAGGCGCACAAGCAAAACGGCTGCAGTGCAGCGGAGCCTGTGTCAGTTTCTAACTGTCTTCCTAAAGAAATACCACGGCAACTGTGCTGAACGTGGAGCTGGAAGAGTTCAAGGTCTTCAAACCCCAATAAATTTTTTCTTGCGGCAGCAAGATTGTGGCCATGAAACTTCTGCTGTGCAACGCCTGAGAAGAAAACTGCATCAGTCAGCTCATGGGGAAGGCATGAAGGGAAGCACTGTCGGATGTCTGTAGACAGATTCCAGACAATATGGGTTTTGGGTTTGGGGTTTTGGTCGTGTCGCATGCGTCGTACTGTCGCGATGACCTTCAAGTGTACGTGGAAGGCATTTCCCTCTTGCACCGTCTAAGGCGACCAAGCCACCCGAGCCTACTGCTACGTGAAGTTTGAGGCTGTGGTGGTTTGTTGGGTATGTGGCGTACAGTAAACCCTAAACCCTAAACCCTAAAACCTAAACCCAGTTGATGGCTTCTCCAAGCACCGGAAACCTTGAGCAGGCTTGAGCCAAAATAGAAGGGCTCCGGCTTTAGGATTAGAGGGTAGGGTTTAGGGTTTAGGGTTGTAGGGTTTATGCTGGGTTTATGTTAGGGCTCAGGGTCAGGCGATGTCTCCAAACCGACTGAAGATGTAAGTAGCTCCAAAATTTAGGCTTCAGGGTCTAGCTGAGTATACCTGGGCATACCACATTTGGTGGAACAAACAGCCTCCATTTGCCGGCAGGGCTCGGGTATGCAGAATAAAATCGAAGCGACGTCTTTGAAAACTTACTTCTGCTCGGGTCCGTAAACTTTCTCAGATCCTGATGCAGGGATCAACGAGAATTCCTGCTTAAACGGACTATGTGCGCATGGCCATGCAAGAACTGCCAGCCCGTCAGTCAACAGAATGCGTGATGCGGACGAAGACATGCCGTGCACCCAGAAGGAAAAGCTATTCAGTCTGATCGTTTGCCCTGCTGAGCCTTTGCGAATGCATCATATGCTTTGGCGTCCGCTCCACCTTGTCAGACTCATGGTGGTGGAGTTCTAGCATTTCAGAACATGGAAGGGAGACGCAAATACAGGCGAATCAAAGTCATTCAGGATCCATTTAACTGGGCGCCCCGACAATTTCAAGAAATCCTAACTAGACCCAGGAGTAACCTAGGAATGAAAAGGGTGCCCTTTCTGCTTTCAAGGGGATTATAAGGATTTATAAGGGAGCCCCAACCCCCAAAAAAGGAAATCAGGGCCTACGCCGGGTCCTAGCTAAAGAAGCATGACCCTGGTTGATCCAACCCTAAACCCTAAACCCTAAACCCTAAACCCGAACCAGTGCAGCTGCAGCGGCTATATGCACCGGTCGCAGAGATCTGGCAAAGGTTCAAGCCAAACAGGCCTGTGCTTAGGGTTTAGGGTTTAGGGTTTAGGGTCGGGTTTAGGGTTTAGGGTTTAGGGTTCAGGGATGGCAGAGTGACATAGTGGTGCCAACAGCGAGTTGAATGGAGTGACGTCGGTATCTAAAACGCAGGTTCGCGGGCTGAGGACGTACTACTGTGAGCAGTTTGACAAGGCATGTCATGACAGCAAGAACATGGGAGAAGAACACATACGGAATGCGATTTGAGCAACAACGACTACGACTGCTAGGGCTAAAACTACAACTTGGACGCCGACTCCGACTACGATGACACTACTAGTAATACTGCTAATAATTCATTAGCCATAATAGTATTCGTAGTAATAATAACAATAACAATGTTAATAACAATTACTAAGAATTTTTAAAACAATGGCTATTCCACCTGCTACCACCTGACTACTGCAACCTCCTTCGCGTGTTCCTCTTTGCCCGTGGCCTCGCATGTAGAGCGAGCCGTCATCCGCGAACATCTGCGTGTCCTGCGGAATGTTGGCGACGGCGCTATGTAGGGTATAGGGTGTAAAGTTTAGGGTTCGAATGTTGGAGATTTCTGTTGCAGTGCTTTTCGACGTGGACTTGGAGGAGCAATGCTTCACGAATTTAAAAGCAAAGGCTCAAGAAGACCTGGAGCCTGGAACTCTGATGCCAAGAGAAAAAAAGCAGGCTTCAGCAAGTATCGCTGAACTGTGGGCTCTTGAAGGAAGGACTGAACTATGTCCCGAAACACAAGCTGAGGCGACGCCAGAAGAACCCGTTGAAACGTCTGAAACCCAAGGCCCATCCCGTCCCATGGGAAAAGGGGTGCCGCCGGAAACTCCGGCGTCGTGTCAATGCGAAGTGTATCAAGAACGCGGATGCCTCGTTCGATGCTCAACTTCAGCCGTGTAGGGATCTGCTTGGACTTGAAAGTAATGCACTGTCACTGGTAAGTGCTTATGTTTATATACGATGCTGCCAATGATGAATAACAGTACGGTCAACAGTCTTTCAATATTATTTGTGTGCTGATTCAGGTTCATGGCTGACTCTGATGGCGGCGGTGATGATGATGGCGATGATGGTGATGATAATGATAATAATGATGATGCTGATGATGGTGATGAAGATGATGGTGATGATGATGATGATGATGACAGTTGCGAGGACGGCGATGATAATGCTGATGGTGGTGTTCCTGCTGCTGCTAATGGTGATGATGATGGTGGTGATGGTGATGCTGCTGGTGGAGATGATGATGATGATGATGATGATGACGATGGTGCAGTTGAACGATGATGATGATGCGGCTGCTAGTGGTGGTGCTGCTGCTGACGAAGAACCGGAGTAGAGAAACTTCCCTTTGTGGGGCCGGGAATGGCAAGATTCCATGTGAGGCCGACATACGACGACAAGAGTACTCGCACAACAAACCCTGAACATCCCTGAACCAAGGCGCCTAAACCACCGTCGGCAACGTTGTAGTATCTTACCCTAACCCTCCAGGTTCCTACTATGTAGGGTACTAGAGCCCCTAGCGCCCTATATAGCAGGCACCTGGGGGGTTAGGGTTAAAGGCTACGAAGCCCTCGGCCGGTACACAATGGGATGCCGAGTTAAGCTTCAAAGCTTCCAAGCCAAGGTTTTTTGGATCAAAGGCTTTGGCATAGGGATTTCGGGATTTCGGGTTGTGCTTCTTTTGGGGTGTGAATTCTGCGTTTCAGGGCCTTCTACTGCCTTAAGGCTGGCCTTTGGGGTTTAGGTTTTAGTGCTGCCTTGGGCGGGGGTTGTCGAAGCCCTTAGGCTCAATGTGCCCACCTTTGCCCACGATCTCGATGACATACTCGGTGGCCAGAATGGCCAGGTTTTGCTCCTATATGGGACTTTCCGAAAATTAGAGTACCTTATTTTGGGGTCCTTATAATAAGGATCCTATTATTTAGGGTGCTATATTAGGGTCCCCTAATTTTCGGAAACCCCCATATCATGTTGGGTATCAGCAGTTTGGTTGCTTCGGAAAAACGGCCACAAATCCAGCCTACAGTGCTGCTGGAAATCGACACTGGGCATTTTCGCCTGTATGGATCCACTGAGCTAAACCCTAAGCCTAGTCTGAAAAACTAGCTCCCAAAACAGGAACCCAATGTGCACATCCGAGATGGCCCACCTCATGGAAACTCTGAGAAGTGCGTGGGTCTAGGGTGTCGGGTTTGCATGCAGGGTAGCGATAGCAGGCGCCTCCACCTACTTCGTATACCCAACCCTAAACCCTAAACCCTCAACCCTAAACCCTAAATTACTAAACCCTCAACCCTAAACCCTAAACCCTCAATCCTAAACCCTCAGTCCTAAACCCTAAACCCTCAACCCTCAACCCTTAAGATGATGGGCTGCATGACCGAACCACACTTCCTTCACACACCGCGACCTGACGAGAGCGAGCCAGGAAGTTGTTCGGCAACATGCACGAGGGTTTAGGGTTTAGGGTTTACGGTTTAGGGTTTAGGCTTGGCATCATTGCTGTAGGGGGCTTAAGAATTTTGAATAGGGTTTTGGGTTTTGGGTTTAGGGGTAGGGGCCTTAAGAATTTTGCATAGGGTTTTGGGTTTAGGGTTTAGGGGTAGGGGCCTTAAGAATTAGAATAGGGTTTTGGGGCCCATTATACTATAATTACAATTGGGAAACTATAGGGGCCTTATAAACCCTACAGCCTAAACCCTTGAGCCCTACAGCCCCTGAAGGCACAATGGGCCGACACACAGCGAGCAGTAGGTCCTTCAGATCTGCCAGGGAAACGCCCTGAGAAGCTTCTGAAAGCTTTGATGTGGCGGATTCGAGAGACAGAAATACAACATAAATGCACTTTGCATGCAATATAAAGCTATATCGTTTGATGGGATGCACTATAATGCAATGAATTAGCAGGAAAAACAGTGCGCTGTAATGTAACTGCAGAATGAAATACGATGCTTTATGCTATTATGGAACATAGTATAATGTAACCTATATTATCCAGTATAATGAGATGTAGCATAATGTAATACAATATAGTATGCCATAGTACAATATGCTAAACCATGCTTCATTAAAGAAATAATTCAGAACGTTATTCTTATACTTTGTGACCTGTCATACAATAGGGGTATAACAACTGTGGTGTTGTGCTTCGTTACAACATTGAAAAATGATTACACTTCATTTTAATATCACGCGATGAAATATAACGTAATGTAACGCAATCTTAAGCTGAAGGAAATTCTGATCAGCTTGAGATGAAAGTGCAGCGCTGTCTGTGTGCGCATGCTTCGGTTGGTGCTTGTGACTTAAGTTTACGATCGTGCTCTGCATCCGGTACACGGCTAGACATGCTCATAGCAAAATTCACAACCACCAGCATTCTACCCTAAACCCTAAACCCTAAACCCTTAAACCCATCCCCAAGACCCGATTCTGATTGTGAAAGCGCCTTCCCGCGCTTTTCCCACAGAAAGAGCTATGGCTTCTGCGAGCACGAGGGTTTAGGGTTTAGGGTTTAGGCTTTAGGGTTTCGGGTTTAGCCACCTGGACCTACATTATAATTATAGAATCACCTCCGACACCCTTCACACAACGCAAAACACTTAAAGCAACCGCTTTACCCAGCTTCCTGCCTTCCTCTCCCGGCATCACCCCCCAAAGTCCCGAACCTGAACCCCGAAATCCTCGTAGAACGCTCTACTCAGACCCCCGGAAAAAATCTAAAAGGTAGATCCCCTCATTTGGGACCCCATAACTACTAAAGAGTACTTTATAGAAAGCCCCTTCAGGCATCCCGGAGGTCTGGGTATAGAACCATTCTGGGCTTCGAAGTAACCAGGGAGAAAAAAGTATAGACTTTTATGTCATAATGGTTCGTTTCAGGAACAGGTCGCCAACAAAACGTATTAAAGTACGGTACTCCAAAGCCGAGCATTTCGATAACTCTTCTGGAACCCTTTGCATGCTATACAGGCCCTTGGGGTAGTAGTATTAGGGAGACCCCTTGAAGGAGACCCATCTAAACCCTACTTCTGGATCTCTGTAAAAAAGGACATTACTGAGAGGGTCTATATCCCCAAAATTCCCCCTAATGCTAACTCCCATTCTTGCGGGTCAAACTGGAACCCTAAACGAGAAAAGCCCTTGCGAACCCTAATATGATTGAACACCCCTAAAAACACCACAAACTCCCACTTCCAGAACAAAAACCAAACAAACCAGATCAAAACCCTAAACCCTAAAAGTCCTAAACGCTAATCCCCTAAACCCCTAAACCCTAAACCCCTAAGCCCTAAACCCCTAATCCCCAAACCGAACTCGACGCCGGGCTGCCATGAGTTGCTTCAGGGCGAGGCTTCGGATTCGCTCTGCGAAAGCGTTCAGCGATTCGATCCGAACCTCGCAGCGGCTTTAGGGTTAGGGTTTAGGGGCTTTAGGGTTTAGGGAGTTTAGGGATTTTAGGGTTTTTAGGGGTTTAAGGGGTTTAAGGGTTTAGGGCTTAGGGAGGTTTCGGGATTAGAGGTGTTAGGGTTTAGGAATATAGGGTTTAGGGGTTCGCGTGTAGGATTTTTAGGATGAAGGGCTTAGGGACGTACTTGTCCAGCATCACAGGGGAACTACAGGTTAAGCTGTGGAGATGACTGTATACCTACCAAAACCACCCTAAAATCATATTCTATGCTTTCTAGGCTCCTGTACTACCCATAGTCTCCATTGTCGTTCGTTGTTGGGAGGAAAAAAAGAACTACAATGGGGCCTGTAGGTAAAGCTGCTGCTGCTGCTGATGTTTAAGCTGTTGAGCTAAAAAAGATTTGCTGCGGGTCGTGGCAATGCTGCGCCGTTGATGGGGTTACTGGTGATTTGTTTTTTGATGTTGCTGCTGCAGCGGCTGATGCTGTTACTGCTGCAGTTGCTGCTTTCGCCGGTGCCAGTGCTGCAGCTGCTGCTGATCTTCTGCTGCAGTTGCCGATTGGTGGTTGTGTGCTGCGGCGGTGTCGCAGTGGTGGTCGTCGTCGTCGGCGGTGGCATCGCCTTGCTCGCCTTGCTGTGTCGCCTGACTCATAAACAGGGCATCGGGAAACAAACAACAGGACAGACGGTTCGAAGTTCGAAGGGGGCAGCGAAACCACCACAGCAAAGAACCTAGCCGAGCTCAGGCTATTTGGCGGCAATGCGGCCACGTTTTCGCTACGAACTTCTCCAGCTTTAGCAATCACCCCAAGAATAAGCCTCTGACGTGTCCGTTCGGTGCAGTGTCCTGCTGTCAGATGCGGAAGGGCACCCTCGAGCCTTCACCCACATCCCTTAACCCTGACGTCAAGTGCTGGTTGAGCATCGCCATTCTGCAAGCATTCTTTTTCACACACGCACATACACACATACACACATACAGACATGCAGACATACAGACAAACGGACGGACGGACGGACGGACAGACATATATATATATATATACACATATATGTTATATGAGTA